CCCCTGGCAGACCTTGCCGCCGTTGGTGGCAGGCACCGCCACCTCCCGCGCCCTCGGCCGCGTGCCGCCCCCGCAGGTGGCGGAGCACTCCGCCCAGGCGCCCCAGTCCTCCGAAACGGACAAAACCGTTGGAAACAGGGAACAGGTCCTCAAAAATACTGATGGGGGGTTGCTCCTTGTTGAGGGAAGCCCCTTTTTTGAAGGGAAGCTTCAAGGAAACAGCCTGCCATTTTGGGGTATTTTGGGAAACACACGATTTGGGTATGTCAAAATAGAAGTAGGGGACCCAATAACCATCACCAGAACCATAAGACCATAAATCGTATGACGAAACGAGAAATGCTGGACCTCCATATGAGCCACGGTCAAGGTTACAAAGGTTCCCCCAAGAGGACGTGGTTGTGGGAAATTTGCAGATGCACCATAGACTACAATGTTTTGGGCCGAACCTCATGCGTGTCAACTAGGGGGCAGCCTTTTCGCGCGTACAAACACGATAATCGACTATAGCCAGTACTCACAATAACAGGTGGACACTCCTTTGGGTCACTTTTTTTTTAAACACTTGTTTGGTTGACAAGTTTGGATTCCATTCCTTTCAATATATGATCACACTTGCCAAACTTGTCGGTTCATAATTACCTTCACGTTTGGATGAGTGCAAAACGAATCACAGCAACAACAAAACATAAACTATTACCAAAGTGGTAAAGCATCAAATGCTCAGAAATACTGCTTCGCGACTTGTGGCTAACGAAAGAACCTTCATCCATGGTTGTAGTGACCCTAAAGGCACCCTTCGCTGACGCAGGAAAAGTTGACAAGTTGTTGGCTGACAACTTGTTTGTTATGGTGAACTTTTCCAAACTAAAAAGAATCACAACAATAATAATCTTTGAGCAATCACTCAAGCCTTTGTGCAAAGCAGTTCTTTGGTTGCGCTCCAGACCTTCTCGTTGGTTCGCACTCCCTTTTTCCGCAGACTTGCTTGGGCTGCATACCTTCAAGAAGAATCCACCATTCTTTCGGGAAACTAGCCTCACAAGGTCGGTGTTGGTCAGGGGTGAACGTCAGGGACCCTCTTCGAATGATTCCTCTTGGACTTTCAAGCCATCTCCGGACAAAGGCCCCAGGTACTCGGAGAAACCACGCTGAAATTATTGCAACGATCAGTTCTCCAAAGCCAGGAGCCAAAATGTATTGCTTCGAGTCATGTGGCTGCGCCTCCCGTCCGGTACGTGTGTTTGCTTGTCCAGTCCTATTCAAGCATTCCCCCATGTCAGAAAGGAATCCGCTCCAAGTGAACAAAGTGTTTGATCCTTCCAGGCGAAAAGAAGAGCACCCCCCGGTTTGCAGTCCATGGGGGTATGAACTTGCAAGGGCCCTTTGGCATCATGTACATGGAGATGTATGTCCACTTGCCATTGAGGTATTCAAGCCATAAATAGTCATGGCCAGGGTATGTGTCCAAATAGGGATTTGAACTCCCTAATGGTGGGGCGTTCTCTTGGTTTCTCTGTAAACCAACTTGAAAAGGGTGCTGCCCTTTAAACCAGCTTGACAAAGCGTGCAACCAACCAACGCAAACCCATTTCCGCCAACCCGAAACCCGCCCTCCTGATACTCGCAGTCTGTGCAGACTCCATCGCAGGACTCCTCCTCGTTGGTCTCGCCGCATGCCTGGCAGGCAAGCACACTTTGAGGGGACCCCGCAGATGAGCCCAAAGAAAAAACACCATTCTCAGGGGCCGGACATTCTCGGGGGGCAGGGGGATTTCCCTTGGGGGCCCTTTTCGGGGATGTGCTAATTTGCAGGAAAGAAAAATACCTCTGGAGTTGCTTTGCAGGGAAAACAAGGGGAAACAAATTTCCCATTTTGCCTGGTCGAGTATGTGGGGTAATTCTGGTTGTGTCTATTTTGAGGAAGAACTGTTCAGGGTTGGGTTGAAGGAAAACTAGAAGGTAACTCGAAGCCGATTTGGGGTTCCACCACCCCAGTAAAACACATCAGAAGAACCTTTATCCCCACCTTTCAGTACAAGTGGAGCTTCGACCGTATAGGTTTAGTTTGAAACCTCTATATATTGACATTCACAAGTGTCAAACGGGCAGAACATGCCCCAAGTGACACAAAGGGCACGCAAGAAAACAAGAACCTACCGGGCAGTTTTGCACTGTGTGAAGTAGACCTTGCTCTTTCCCTCGTCTGCTCAACCCTTATCTTCCAAACCGTCTCACAGCCTACGGTTCAAACCGCGGGAGGCACCCAGCCTCACCCCCATGGGTAGCTTGCTGGATGAGGGTTCGGCTGCGGGCCCGCTTGCCCGAGCAGTCAGGCGCGCACTTGCCCCATTCCTGGCGTGAAGCAACCGTCAGTCGTCACATGTCTGGAAAGCATCTGATGCACAGATGCGAATGTGCCCACTATGTACCAAACTTAAAATCCCAAAGACTGTGTCACATGATGCACTTGGAAAAGAGGAAAGAGAGAGCTAGAGAG